AGTGACTCAAGCACTTCAATTCAAATGCATTGGTAAATGCATATAGTTTTTATTATAATTCATTGTTGCCTTATGCCTTGCCTCGGTTGATTTTGTTTTATTAGGTCTAAAGGTGAAGTGCAAACAACATTCTTATGCCATGAAGGATTCATGGGCACTCTGGGTGCATTTTGGAGCTATGAAAATATGGGAATTCATGACTTGGCAGCCAATGATTTCATAAAAGAAGTATTGCTATCCGCCCCTTATATGATAGGGAAAGCTCAGGTTTCACCCACAATGAACTTAAACATGGTACGCGGAAATATGATTTTCTTACATATTACCTTATGGGTTTTTTCATCTACTTTTTGAATGATAATTTAACATAAAAATACACACAATTGTTAGGTTTTTAATTAATATAATCAACTGACAACTAATATTAGCTTCATATATTGCTTTTGATCAAACAGTGAAATTAAGGCTTCATTTCAGACTGTTTTCTTATTGCTTCTTAAAGTTGTTTCTTAGTAAAAAATTAAAATTTTACTCTAAAAAATTGCTTTAAGAAGCAGTAAGAAAGTCTTCCCAAACAAACTCTAAATTTTCCTTGCTATAATGCTTGATATCTAAAGTAGTTCGGTTACAATACTCCATTCTTGTCGTAGGGGTCATCTTTAATAATATAATTCCTTTATTTTCTGCAGAAGAATGAATCAAGTCTGAAAGAAGAGGTGAAAAGACTAAGGCATAATAATGCGGAGCTCAGAGCTGAACTCGAAAGACTGAAGCAAGAAAACATTGAGCTCAAATCTGCACTGTCTAAGTTGCAGATTAAGAATAAATCGCAATAGGAACATGAAGGTAATAGTTCTACTTAAATAATTTTACTGCAAGAACGAATCAATAGGTCAAGAAATTTACTTCAGTATGTTTTTTTCCTGATCTTCTTTTTTAATAATTATGTATAATTATTATCTTACATTTCGTTTGGGACGGCTTTCTTACTGCTTTTTAAAGTAGTTTCTTAGTACAAAAATTTTAATTTTTGTACTAAAATTTTATTTTAAGAAGCAGTAAGAAAGCTGTCCAAACGAAGCCGTGGCTCTAAAGGCTTTCAAGTGTTGAATAAGAGAATTTACGTGAGGCAGAAAATTTATTTTGTATCTAATAGATTATCATTTTTTTTTTCTTTTAGCCGTGGCTCTAAAGGCTCATTTTATGGTCATATTAGGCTTTGTTTGCGATACTGTTTTTTAAATAATTTTTTAATACAAAATTTTTTTGAACTATTTTTTTTTTTACAAAAAAAACTATTTTAGAAAGTATTAAGAAAGTATTTCTAGATTTCGTTGGCATTAGATATCGGTTTCATTTGAGATTCTAATCACAATTATAATTGATATTTGATCATTATTTTTTCAATGATTTTTTACTAAAATTTTACTTAAAAAATATTTTTTAATAAATTTTTTTGTAAAATAATAGAAAAGTTGTCCCAAAAGAAATCATAGTCAATAGTCAACGTACATAGCATATCTGTACTTTTACATTCATGCCTTTCCTATTATTTACATTAACTTACCCAT